TTTTTGGGGCGCCAGGCGGTGGGGGGCAGATATGAACTCATGAAATGTATGGATCCTTAAACTAAATGTGATATTTTTTTTAGATAGATCATAAAGAAAAAAGTAAAAAAAAGCTATAAGCTGTTCTAATAAGTTGTGAAATGAAATTATTCAATTAAATCCACAACACGTAAAACTCGATCAAATTATTCAGTTAATTCCGTACAACATGTGATGTCATAGATAGAACCCCTACAAAAGTAGATATTATGTATTTCTCGTGGTTGACATGAGTCTGCTTGTCAGCATTACAATGTGTGAATGGAAAGCTTGGAAAAGTATATCTTAACTTGCCAAAAAATAAAAAAACATTTTTCTCATGTACGTTCACATCAAAAGAAAGTTGTTTGAACCTTACGAGTCATTTAAGGTAGATGGAGGATGTATGTGTATCTGTCATTTGACATGAACATACATAACACAATATTAGGGGGCTCCGATCTAACGAGGAATTGTTTTAACATCCTTTCCCACCATTTTGTCAGCTAGCATGACCTTTGAAGGAATGACGATTCTCTCCTCTTCCCTTGGGAATGAAATCCCATTCTAACTTATTTTAATTCACATTCTAATTCTTATGTGAATCAAATAGACAATGGAAATAAATCATTCTGATTTCAGAGAATTTTGATTTTGATTCTAATTCTGATTGATCTGTGAACCAAATGGGCCCTAAATATTATCCATGATGACATGCAAAGTCCTTGGGTCCATGAATATACGTGTATGTACACTAGCAGTTGGAATTGGTTTCTCGTTTTAAGTCGGGTTATTTTTGTATAATTTTTTGTTTTGAGCTGGCTTTTGTGGTGGGTGAGGGACTTGGGCTTCCTCTTTTTGTGAGGGCCCGCTCATTTTACAATCTATCCTCTCTTGTTCTTTTGCATTTTATTAATAAATTAAATTTTTTCTTATATTAAAAAAAAAGTAATCATTAATTCTTTTGAAATAAATAAAACAGAAGTTTTATTAAAGAAGAATAAAACAAGAAGAAATATAGATAAAGACATCAAAGGAAGCAAATTAAACGATATTATCTTCTAAGTAGGACTGTGTGATCGAGGATGGTTTTGCGTTGAGAAAAAATATCTCCCAAAGGGAAGAATCTCTGCGTATTTTTCATGTGTTGATGTTGGATCATGTTGCTTTCATTTCATGTCATGTTGCCCATCATCTGGGCCACTTTTTCTGATAGCCCTTTTATTTATACGGAAAAGTATGACAGGCTTAATGCAGATTTCTGATTTACACCACAAATCTATAAGAAGAATAAATAATTCTATAAATTGAGATGATCCTTCTATCCCCATTTCATAGCAAAAGTAGTCTCTCTGATCCCACAACTACAACCCAAATCCCCCCTTGCCCAAAGCAGTCTGCGGATCAGTATGTCCTTCCTCAGTATTATCACTGCTGAGCCAACAGTCCAACCGATCACCAGAACGAAATTGGTGGAGCAGTGGCCTAGCCATGGACCAAAGCCTATAAGGTGGTGGAACTGCAGGTTGCATGCAAGCCAGACAACAAGAAATCAGTCTTCCCTGAAATTGTCCACAATATTTGGCCCAGCAGAAGCTTTCAACATCATTACTTGCAAAGCATCTAGTGGTGAATTTATGACTGAAAAGGGAAGCTTACTTTCTTGGGAAAGCCCATCAGCTCTTCACATGGAGGTGGATCGATATGTTTAATATTTGTTTGTTTTTCATAACTTGATCATTTGTCCAAAACCATGCAGCTGACACTTACGTTATTTGCAGGATATCATATGCGGAAAGCACAGGAATAGATGCGAGGAGCTGTGCGGCTTACTCTTGAAAGTAGAAGACCCATTAGAGTCCATGGCCTTGATCGATGCACTGCAACGACTATGCATTGATCACCATTTTGAAGAGGAGATCAGGACTGTGTTAAGTGTGTTGTATACAAGGTTTGGTTCAGATATTTATCAGATGGGAACCGGCAGTCTGCATGACGTCTCTCTTTGCTTCAGATTATTTAGACAAGCTGGGTACTGTGTGCCTACAGGTAAGAATTGTAATGCCGTTAGGCTAGCTCCTGTTCTTCCTGAACCAAATAATTAAAACTGTAGAATAGAACTATATTAAGCTCGACTAATTTCTGTTCAACAATATTGGAGCAGATGTGTTTGATAAGTTCAGGGACAACAGGGGTCGGTTTAAACCAGAACTAAATGAAGACACAAGGGGAATGCTGAGTTTATTTGAAGCTTCACACCTGGGAATACACGGTGAAGACATACTGGATGAAGCCAATGAGCTTGCTTACAAACACCTTTCTGCTTCAAGGTTGAACCTCAGCCCACCTCTGGCGAGAGCCGTGGAAGATACCCTAAAGCACCCCTTTAACAAAAGCTTGGCTAGTTTCAAGGTCAAAAGCTATCTTAAGAATTTCTCAAGCTCATATTGGTGGCACAATTCCTTACAAGAACTGGCCAAAGTGGAATTCAACCTTGTTCAATCTCTGCACCGCCAAGAAGTCGCTCAGGTTTCTCAGTAAGTGGCCGGTATAGTTTTAATTTGTTGGCTACTTAGTTAATTAGGTGCCGTTTTGCAAGTCTTTTGTAAAAGATTTTCCGGAAGATCTCATAGCCAAAAAAATTGCTGGACTTTTTTTGAAGCCGATAGACAGTTTGGTTGGAGACACGTCTTTTCACACAAAAATGGGACAAAAAATGTTGAAAAACTCCATTTGATGTTTTCTGAAAATAGTTCAAAACGGGCTTTGAAATTTTTTGATAAATAGATATTTCCCCAGCCAAGCCAGAAAAGATGAAAACACGAATTACTAGTAGGCTTCCAAACAACCAACAGCCCTTGTTAAAAAACGCACCAGACTGGACCTTAGTTCTTTTATCTGTTTGTTTCAACAGTTAGATGTATTCTAATCCTATTATTTGCAATATTATTAGGTGGTGGAGAGATCTGGGTTTGTCAGACGAGTTGAAGTTTGCCAGAAATCAACCACTTAAATGGTACATGTGGTCCATGGTGGTTCTCAGAGATCCGAGATTCTCAGAGCAAAGGATTGACCTAACAAAACCCATTGCACTTATCTACATAATCGATGATATTTTTGATGTTTATGGAACACTCGATGAACTTGTCATTTTCACAGAAGTAATCAACAAGTAAGAAATGCCCCCAACTAGCTATCATTTAATGATTTAATTTCACTATTTTAATGATAGTAAATAGGAAATATTATTAAAAGGTGAAAAAATGAATAATCATTTTTTTTCTTAAAGTTAAAAAAAAAAAATCCTAGTTAAGAAAAAATAAACAGGCTCTTAATCTAAATCAAGAAAACAAAAAAACAGAATACCTGCCACCAGCGTTGCAGAACAGTTCAACAACTCTCGAGTGATTTTTGAACACGTCAGTGTGTTAATCAGGTATCGTTTGATATGATATTTTGTCTTTTCACCACACTGGCCTGTTAATCAGGTATCGCACGACATGTAAACTCAAAAAGGACACTCCTCCCATACCCAACAATACGCGTGATCTGTTCCTTAAAATACCTTAGCTTACTCTTAAAAAAGGACACTGAATAGGTATTTCTTCCCTAACAATTTCGAACATCCTCACTGCATGCTGATCCAATGTCACTGGTCTTGATCGCCCGCCCTAGGCCTCTACCAAATCTCCCTTGATCGCCTCATTAATTTCAAATTGTGCACCAATTAAAGTCTTCTCTGGGTATTGATTTTTCTAGGCCAATTGCTCTTTTTTGCAGCATCTCCCGAATGTTGCAAAAAGTTACCAAAGAATTGACCGATGAGGGACTCTGACCCGTGCCTTTAACCTAATCCTGAAGGCTCAGTTTGGAAATTAAAGAGTACAAATGCGAATATATAAAATATAAGGTTTTGCATTCTGCATATTTGCATTTGTACTCCTTCCAAATGGAGCTGAAGGCCCAATCTTCCACACATTCTTTGGATCGCTTCCCTCTCATCAAAGTACCCCAGTAGTCATCACAAACAGTACTCTCTGTCTCCGATGATGGCCCTCACTACATTGACTCTAGTATGATGAATTTGACATGCAGATGGGAACTAGTTGCTGCTGAACAGCTTCCCAAGTACATGAGGAAGTGTTTTAAGGCACTTTATGGCATTACAAATGAAATATGCACCAAGGTTTTTAAAGAAACTGGGTGGAACCCTATCAACTCCCTGCAGAAGGCGGTAGGTAACATTTGACCTGGATCATGATCACTAATTTTACATTCTCTCTCTCTCTCTCTCTCTATCTATCCATATATAATAATTCATACCTCCTCCTTTTGTTATTTTTAGATTAAATAAAAAACAAGTCAAAATTAAAACTTTTATGGGTCTTCATTGTCTATCACATTGTATCTCTTGTTTTTTCTTCTTTAATTAATGAAAAAGAGGTTGATAATAAAATACCCTCAAAAATCAAAATCAAAATTATATAGAACTATTTTGAAAACCATATTTTTTTTGGGGTATAAAAGCTACCAAAGTAGATTTTACTTCGCTTTGGAGGAAAAATCCAAAATGTGGCTACTGTACAGCCTACATGTTAATATTGTATTGGATGCATGCAGTGGGCCAGTCTTTGCAATGCATTTCTTGTAGAGGCAAAATGGTTTTCTTCCAGGCAGCTGCCAAACGAGACAGACTACTTGAAGAATGGAATCGTTAGCTCTGGAGTGCATGTGGCGCTAATTCACATTTTCTTTCTATTGGGCCAAGGCATTACCAAAGAAAGTGTCGACTATCTGGACGCTGCTCCGGCCATTATCTCTTCCTCAGCATCCATTCTTCGTCTCTGGGATGACCTGGGAAGCGCTAAGGTACAGTTGTGTTTGATACTATCTGATCACCATTTCTTTGTTTTATACAAGTCATTAATGGACCAAAAGCAATGGAGTGTGAGCTTATTCTTCAAAAGTGTTCTGAGCTCCTGTTGAGGTTGAATTGACCTTAATCAGGGATTGCGTCTGGTTTGGGTTAAGGTGATTAGGTGAACCCATTTTGTACCTGATTAAGTGTCAGGATTTGGGCTTGGCTTTATACTGTTTAGGACTTCAAATTTTGGCAGAAGCTAAGCTCGAGAGCAGCCCATAACATGCCTACTTATGACCATATTAAAAAAATATGAGATGCTTGGTACAATTTTGTTTAAACGGAGATTGAGTTTCATTGATATATTAATTGCCTGACTAAAGGCTAAACTTAATCAATAAAATGGCAGGATGAGAACCAAGAAGGATACGATGGATCATACATAGAGTGCTACATGAAGAATCACCAAGGAATTTCAATTGAAGGCGCAAGAAATCATGTCCTTGGCATGATTTCAGACTCATGGAAACAGCTTAACCAAGAATGCCTCTCACCAAACCCCTTCTCACCAACATTTATAGAGGCAATACATAATTTTGCAAAGATGGTATCTGTGATGTATGATTATGATGACTATCGACGCCTTCCGGTCCTTGAGGAATATATTAACTCATTGCTTTTTGAAAATATTCCTCTGCGAGGGTGATACCAATTCTGTTGTACTTCAGAAACCAAATCGCAAGCTGCAACAACCTTATACATTTGCCTCATTAATTAATCCAGCATATGCTACGTACGCTTATTAGGGTTTTCTAAGTGTCAGAGGTTGTTCAACCTTGTATACTTCGTTACGATTTCCTTTTATGGACTTCTTTTCCTCCATCTTCCATAAAGGCCGGAATCACGTAAATCTATGTATGTTCAATTTTTCTTGTCTTTTTTTGTTTCTTAATATCTATGTTTTGCCTTATTTTCTTGTGTCATTTAAATATATGTTTCTGGGTTTTGTGTAACAATGGGATACGACATAATGGATACATATATAGATTTTTGCTTGATGTTAATTGGAGAGTCCATGGGTGACACCTATTGTAGTCTAAAATCGGGCGACAAATGAAAGAAGAGAGAAATCTAATTGAGGAGGCTTGGTGAGCTGAACTGCTTCCGAAGGCACTTTGTAAGAAAGGAAGACAGTCTCGAGGTGTGTCTCTGAGGAGATTTCTTAGGTAGGTAATAGGTACGCAAGGAAAGCAAAATGACAAGGTGAGGGTAAGAAGAATGCTATATGTGTATACCATTTTATGGGGTTGCCTAACCTATAACCTATTTATATTTATAGAAGAGGCTTCATGCCGAGGAGATTTAATCCTATTAGTAGACGATTGCTGAGCCAGGCCTGGGCTTCTTAGTTCTTAGTGATGTCCTTGTTAGCATCTGGCCATCTGGGTATGCCACCGACATATGGTGAACAGGTCGGTCGGATAATAGGTTGGACCAGTGCCACTTCCTAGAGCATTTTGTTCAGTGACACGTGGGGGCTTGAGTGTGGACCGCGTAGATGGATCTTATCACGTGCACCAACTTTCCGGATTGAGACAGTTGTCTTGTTGCTCCTGGTCAACCTCATTAAAGAAAAGTACGGATAAGCCAAATATACATTTCTGAATTTCATTGCATCCAAAACGACAAAAACCTATATTTTATACACCAATACCCACCTGTGAATTGACATCGATTCCTAAAAATTCTGACCCTTCTCCCAGAAAATTAACGTAAGTTAATTGTTGGAGTAGTAGGTCAAGCTCGAAATCCCCTTATTCCCCTCGACGGTGAATTGTGAAGGGAGAGAGAGAACTCAATGGAAAAGAAGAGGAATGAAGAGAGAGAGTGCTGAAATGGCAAATTGGAAGTGATGAGAAGGAAAAAAAAGAAAATCAAAAAGAATACAAGTAATAGAGCAAGGAGAAGCAAGATAACATGGTCTCATTTATTATATAGATAGATAGATAAATAGATAAATAGATAATAGATCTCACATTATAAGCCAAGCAAGATAACATGTGAATTCAAATCTGCCTCCCACCGCCTTGCGCCCCAAAAACGTCCCACAGAATGGGAGGCCGCCAGCTGTCCTCCCACACACTCTCCCCTCAGCGCGTGTGGAGTTAACGGAATGGCCGTTAGTTCCCAATCAGCGCCCAGAACCAAACTCTCGACTTGGACCAGTGCAACCTTGCACTCCTCCGATCCTATCATCTCTAGTGTCGATGACCGTTCCGGCAGATACATCGTAGGTGCGAACTCGTCACTCTCTCTCATCTCCCTCTCACATCCTTTATTTTTTAATTTATTTTTTTCAATACAAAAAACAGGGAGAAGGATCACCGGCCGGCGACCACCCGACCATTATACAGGTGCGTTTTCTCCTCTTCTTTCTCAGTTTTTTTTTTTTTTTATTTGCATTTCCCCAACCTGTTCTATGTATTTCCCCAACCCATAAAGCAGAGAATGAAAATCCAGTCTCTTCTTCTCTTCCTGATTCTCCTCATGGTTTCCTTCTTTCTCTTCGACAACGGAGTTTCCGCCATGCTACTCGGCGACTGGCAACCCATTCAAGATGTGAATGACCCACATGTCCAAGAGATCTGGCAGTTTACCGTCGCTAAGTACAACAAGGATGCCAAAACCAACCTCCAGTTTAACGCAAATCTTTGGACTTTGGACTCTCAACTCTAAAGAGTGAAAATATCATGTCTTCTTTATTAAAAAAAAAGTTAAGGAAATGAAAGCTACCATTTTCATGTTTTATATGACGAGTAAGAAGAAAAAATCGGCAACATATATCAGTGTAACAGTTTGGAGAAAATGCAAATGTAAAAACAAAAAAAAAAAAAAAAATAGAGTAGATGGAAGAGAGCAAAAAACGCACACCTATATACTGTTGCTGGTGGTTGCCGGAGATGGCCGGTGGTGGGTGAAACCTCTCCTTTGTTCTGAATCGAAAAAAAAGGGTAAATTATAAGAGAGAGATGAGATGAGAGGGACGGATTCATACCTTCGGTGTTTCTGCCGCAATGGTCATCGGCACCGGAGACGATCGGATCGGAGTAGTGCAAGGTTGCACAGGTCCAGGTCGAGAGTTTGGTTTTGGGGCTGCTTCAGAACTAACGGCCGTTCCGTTAACTCTACAGGCGCTGAGGGGAGTGTGTGTGTGGAAGGACAGCTGGCAGCCTCCCATTGTGTGGAACGTTTTTGGGGCGCCAGGCGGTGGGGGGCAGATATGAACTCATGAAATGTATGGATCCTTAAACTAAATGTGATATTTTTTTTAGATAGATCATAAA